ATTTCTTCTGAAGGGTCTTTTCTGAAATTAATTTAACAGATCTCTCAAAATCTCAGAAAATTATTTCTATACTCAAAGTGCTGAAATTTTGGAGAGAACTACTTTTTAAGTACAAAATCCTTCAACTTCAATCATAGCGTCACAGCTGATATCTTTACAATGATTTATATTACAAGAACAGCTGAAAGTCCCATATGGTGATATGGCCTTTGTACTAGGTACTGTACAAGAATCCCTGAGACAGAGGCTGCCTTCACTTAAGCTTATAAAAAACTTCATACACAATTTGGTATATTAAGCTGTTTTCACTGCTTGTTGCTTCAATAGAAGATACAAATATAAATGTCTCTAAAAGTCACATTGTCTCTGAAAAAACATTAACAGCTTTTCCTTAGTCAGGTTACTTTGTTACCCTGTTAGTCTGACACCCTAAGTAAGGCAGGGACAGGGTAGCACCTTAGAGACCAACTAGTTTGGAGAAGTATAAGCTTTTGTAGGCAAGTCTACTTTGTCAGATGTCACCTACAAAAACTTATATTTCTCCAAACTAGTTAGTTTCTAAGGTGCTACCCTCTCCTGCCTTTTGCTGTACTTGTGAAATAATCAAAAGGTGGCCTGCTTCATTTGTCAGGCATTTCTGTTCCCAATTAGCTGCTCTCACAGCAGGATTAACCAACTCAATATACCAACTGTTAAGCAGAGTAGGATGAGCCATGCCAGCCATGAGAAACTTGTATTTTCACTTGCAATGTCCTCCCATGCTTTCCTCTGAAACTTCTCCAGCCTGGTCTTATGGATTTGATTTTGGAAGTAGCAAAAAGCCAGTTCAGTACTTGGGTTAAGTGAACAGAGTCTTCCTGCTTTATTAAAACTGTCCTTACTTTATTTCTGGCACAAAATCTCAAAAAGAAATCAAATTAAATATCTCATGCTTTGCGCCTAGTTATGTGAATAAAGCCGATTTCTTTGCTAACGATAGGAAAACATAACTTGAATGTGTTACTATTTTTTATCCAGTGTTTCTGGTAAGACCAAAACAGATGCAAAATGAAATGTATTTTTAAACATTAAATATTCCATTAGAGCTAGCATGACTCGCTAACTAGGAGGACTCATTACAGAATGCTGAATAGGAAACACTATGAGGGGAAGTTCATAGTTTCTTGTTCCCTACCTTATTCCACATGCAGGGTATGATCTAGATTTTCATAGGTGAGACTATAGAGGTACTTAATTTTTTTAAAATTTACTCCCTAATGCCCAAAATAGGCAACGAGTTTCTAAACTTGCTGAACTGCCTGTCACGGAGTTCTAAACCCTTTTATTTATCTCACTGATGAGCTCAGCCATGTTCTTACGAGGACCAAAAACCTGAAAAGACCTCCCTCACTAAAAAAAGCAAAGCAAGAAAGGGCTCCAATTAGGATGGCCCACATACCACTACTAGTCAACACACAGAGTAACGGTGTTGTTGTGTAGTGATATCAGTGAACAAACATTATGCATAAGGGGTATGAGTAGTAGTAGTTTTCAGGTAAAGGAGTATGCAACCAAAAAAGTTTGAAAACCTCTGACATGGACTAAACAGTAATCAAGTACTGGGAGTTTTCAGTGGTCATCTTAGGTCACATCTGAATCAGTGACCTGGAGGCAAATAAAAAAAATGCGGTGTTAGAATCCATATTCTAAAACCTCTGTGAAGTTAATTTTTCTGATAGTCTCTCCCCAGTTAATCCTGCAAATTGAAGTTTGTGAACAAAAGTATGGAGGAGAAAAAAAGGTAATTCAAATCTTTGCTAAAGAAGAATACTCCTGACTAGTCCTGTTTAGATTAGAACTGTTATCAAACTTCATGTTACCAATTGCCACTAATACACAAATTGCTATTCTAATGGTCAGGAATTAAAATTGACTATATAACATTGCAAAGAACTAGAAGTACAAATGGAGTAACTCACTTTATATAAGTGAAGGCTGAGATATATATAAGTGAGGTATTCCATTTGTACTTCTAGCTGTTTGCAATGTTCTGCTCCCCAAATGTCATTCCATGCATTAACAGTTTTAACTTGCCTGGAACATTATTCACATGTCAGCCCTCCTCACAGCCACTACCAGACTGTGACTTCTAAGGTTTCATTTTATCAAGTATCACTGTAGCACCATGCCTTGCTAATAAAGGATTTTTCCCCTTTTACTGCTTTGTAACCTTTCTTTATTGAGAAGTATTACATAGCATATACATAAAAAACTCAGCAGACAGGTTTTAGGTGGCAAGTTATAACAACATTTTTCCAAATCTGAATGTCACATAACATAACACCCCTTTTTATAATCGTGATGCTATGATGCAAAGTAGTACAGTAGAGACATAGGAAGGAGCACAGTACAAGAACCTACATAAAACAGAAACTGGTAAATAAGGCCCCGGCCTAGAAGTCAGGAGACCTGAATTCTATTCTCGGCTCTGCTGCTGACCTACTGTGGGACTGTAGGCAAATCACATCACCCTTCTATGCCCGTTCTTCCTACTCTTTGTCTTATCTGTTTCATCTCTAAGCTCTTTGGGGCAAGGAGAGTCTTCTTCAGTGTACATACAAAGCCCAGCTGTAGTCTCTAAGTGAAACCTGTAAACACCTAAAAAGAGACACACATTTTGATTACTTTGGTGTAGCTGGCAGTTGGGGCTTTTATTTTTACTCAATAATAATAATAATAATAATAATAATATTACTACTGTCTTGTGCCAACCTAAGAGATTAATTTATGGGTGAGATGTATGGTTTAAAAGTGCTTAAATCTAGCCATTGCCTCCATTTCAAATCTAACATGCAATCAATCACCACCTGTCCTAACCAGCAACTCTTACAACTGGTAGTGCAACTACAGTGGTTACCACACAAAGCAGATACGAAGGAGAGTGGGGCTTTAAATGTATGAAGTGGTAATTAATCAGAACTACAAAAAAAGTCTTCATTGCATAACCACAGTTAGCACGAATTATTTGCTGACATCTTAGGAAATCCTTAAGAGAAACAGTCAGCAAGAGGTATCCAAAGTACAGAACCAGAAATATTAATTGAAAGCTGAAGAGTCCATGTGTGTCTGGTGCGGTCCAGGTTGATCAGACAAGAGACAGGGATGAAAGAGAACAGCTGAAACAAGCGGACCAGTAAATGGGATGCGATTAACTACTTAGAGGGAAAGAAACACAAAAGGGCAGGAATTAGGACACAGTTTAAGCCCTATCCTGCAACAGACTTTCGCCTCCATACAGTGCCCTAACTGACTCCAATGAAACTCTGTACCAATGCTACGGCCTGCTTGCACTGACTCTCAAGCCTCGTCTTTACTAGGATTAAAGTAGGGTTAACTAAACCTGACACATTCAATCACATGGTCTTCTGTACATGTCCCCTAAAAAATGCCTGCTCTTAACCTTTTATTTCCTATCTTTTAGGGACATCCCTCCCAATTTCCAGAAAGTTTAAAGAGATATACATATCATATTCTGGAAGCGTATAAATGTACTGCAAAGCAAGCTTCACTTCATGCTAGTATGCTTTATGGAGAACAGTTTGCTAAGCATCAGGAGGGAGTTTCTATTTATTGGATCAAACTCTTGTGCAATTTTGAGCAGTTTTTGTTGCCTCAGTTTCCTCTTTGTAAGAGGCCTTATATTTGGCTGCCTTTTATAAAGCTCTCTCAACTGTTCTGATGAAAAGTTACTACTTAATTTTACTTTTTTAAAAGCACTACAAGACATCAGTAATGCCTCTTTCAGTCATCTATTTCTATACCACCTTTGCCAAGACAGCATCACTGTATATTTAGAATACAACTGCAACTGTTCTTCGAAATGAAGTGTTTATGAAAAAGTCATTACACTACACCTAAGCCTGCTGCCATGCAGAGCTCCCTGAACAGTTAATGCCTTACATTGTGTTCTCACTTAGTAGAAGCATTGTTTTCCAGTAGAATACAGTCAAATCTGGTGGGCCAGATGTCCTTACATCTGCTTAAAGGCTGTGTAATTCTGTTTCCACAAAGCAAGTGTGTCAGTATCCAATAACTCCCAAGCACGCTGCAAGTAACATCACACAGCAAAAGAGCAATGACCAAATGGGACACTCTAGGGGTATCAAACTCATATGGCCCTGGGACAGCATTAACCCCCCTGGATGCTGGCTCCTCTGACACATAGCTCTGGCAGTAAGGAGGAAGGTTAATACTGTCATCATTGCAGACCTGCATCCTCAACAGGGATCCCAAGTTGGGAATCTGGCAACAGGGTAAGCAACAGCAATGGGTAAGCAACCTGGGTTGACCACTACTACTGCCTACCCCACTGCCCACAGGTCTATTTCCACAGGTGGGATCCAGAGACCACAAGAAGCCCCATAGGCTGCGTGACCCACCTCTGCAGGCCAGATTCAACCCACGGGCTACACCTGATACACCGTCCGTACACTATGTGCGGAAACACTGCTCATCAAACCAGTACTCAACTCGCTTCCCATATCCCCAGCATCGCTTCTCAGGAGCCCACCGAGTTTGTGCAACCCCACCCCCCGTGGTTCAGGCGATCCGAGCCACATCCTCTGCCCCTGCCCGGGGAACTTGGCACCCCTTCTCCTCCCGGTGCTGAGCCCCCATGACTCGGCCCTTTCTCAAGAGAAGCCCTGCAGCTGGTCCCCAGTCCTCAAGGCCGCTCCTTCCCCAGCCGAGAGCAGGGCAACGTGCCCCTTGCCCCCGGCGGCAAGTCGCCTAGCACCAGGCGCCGTAACAGGTTGGCAGGGAAGAGCAGGGCTGCAGCTCGGGCCCCCGCTCCCGTGCTACCCACAAAGCAGCTCCCAGAGCCCCTAACCTGCTCGCGGGCCCCAGGCCGGGAGCCCCAGGCCAGGCCGGGCCTTGCAGGCGGCGCTGACCGCGGGGCAGCGGCGAAGCCCGGCCCGGTGGCTCTTTGTTCCCCGCGAGGCCCTGCCCGGCCCGGCTCTCACCTTTAGGAGATTAGACGTCGCCATGTTGCCCCGCGGGCCCCG